GATGGTACCTGGAGTATGCATCAAGGAAGCAAAGGGTTTCACACCCTGAGGTAGAGCCGACTACTTGGTCTATGCATGGCAAAGGAAACGGATCCTTCAGGCATGCTTTTTTGAGACCTATGTAGTCAACACACATTCTCTATTTCCCACTTTTCTTTCATACAAGAACGGGATTGGCTAACCACTTGGGGTGCCACACTTCCTGGATGAACCCAGCCACCAAAAGTTTCACGATCTCCTTGCCGATGGCTCTACGTTTCCTCGTGTTGAAGCGACGCAGGCGCTGCTTCACCGGCTTGGAGCCTGGCTTGATCTTCAAGGTATGCTCGACAACTTATCTCGAAATGCCTGGCATGTCCGAGGGTTTCCACACAAAGATGTCTTTGTTGGCGTGGAGAAAGTTGACGAGTGCGCTTTCCTATTTAGAGGAAAGCACGGTGCCAATGTGCACCACTTTGATTTTGGAGCTGCTGGGGTCTATGAGGACCTCCTTAGCGCCCTCCACCGGCTTGAAAGACCCAGCCGACCACTGGTGGTCGGGTGTTTCTTCGATGACCTCCTTCCTGATGGCCGCAAGCTCCTTGGAGGCAACGATTGCCATAGCATGATCGTAGCATTCGACCTCACACTCGTAGGCACGCTGAAATGAGGTGCCGGCGGTGATGACCCCGCCTGGGCCCGACATCTTCAGCTTCAGGTAGGTGTAGTTGGGGATGCCCATGAACTTCACGAAGCATGGACGTCGCAGGATGGTGTGGTAGGTTCCATGGAACCCAACCACCTCGAAGGTGAGGGTCTCCGTCCTATAATTGGACAGATCCCTTAAGGTAATGGGCAGATCGATCTGCCCAAGTGGCACGGCCTGCTTTCCAGGCATGATGCCATGAAAAGGCACTCCAGTCGATCGGATGCGGGATCGGCTGATGCCCTTGGCGTCGAGCATCTTGGCGTACATGATGTTAAGGCCGCTGCCTCCATCCATCAGTACCTTGGAGAGCCGCTTTGTGCCGATGATCGGGTCGACCACGAACGGATACCTCCCTGGTCGCGGGACGCTTTTCGGGTGGTCGGTCCAATCAAAGGTTATGGCGGACTCTAACCACCCGAGGAAGGTAGGCTCGGCCGGCTCGGCCGTATAGACCTTGCAGCGTGCGAGCTTCTGGTGACACTTGGAGTCGTAGGCCGCCGACCCTCCGAAGATCATAAGGCAGCCATTCGATGTCAAAAAGCCACCGTCCATCCCCTCGGTGTTGTCTGTGGTCAGCTTGGGATCCTTCCCATGCTCCCCCCTATTGAAGCCTCCGGACAAGAACCGCTTTATGAGGCCGCAGTCCTTGTATAGATGCTTGATGGGGAAGGAATGGTTCGGGCATGGCCCTTCAAGCAGCTTCTCAAAGTGGTCCAGAGTACCCTCCGTGGGCTTCTGGCCCCCCTTGCGGTCGATGGCGGTCACGAGCGAGCCCTCGCATCGTTGCTTGTTCTTCTTGTTAATGGGATGGTTGGAGGCGCCTTTGCCGACATCCTCATTACGCTTCGCCTTGCCTTTTAGGTGATCGAAGATCGCTCCGACTGCCTCCTCGCCTATGGCGTGGCTGGTGGTGATGTCGAGGAGCTCCTTAGTGGTTTTGTAGGCCCTTATGTCCTAACTTGTGAACCAGGGACTCGTAGGTGGTCCCAAACAGGAAAGCTCCTATAACATCGGCGTCGGCAATGTTAGGCCGCTCGTTGCACTGTCGGGAGAAGCACCGGATGTACCCACGAAGGGTTTCTCCAGCCTTCTGTCAGCAGTTCTTGAGATCCCATGGGTTCCCAGGGCACTTGTACGTGCCCTGAAAGTTTCCCACAAAGATTTCTTTCAGGTCTACTAAACTTTGGATTTTGTTGGGTGGAAGGTGTTCCAACCATGTTCGCGCCGAATCGGCCAGGAACAATGGAAGGTTGCGGAGAATGAAATCGTCATTATCCGCTCCACCGGCTTGGTAGGCAAGCCGATAATCCTCGAGCCATAGTCCGGGGTTCATTTCCCCATAGTATTTTGGGATGTTGGTTGGCGGTCGGTACCATGGTGGGAAGGCAACGTCGAGGATGTGTCGTCCGAAGGCCTGAGGCCCCGATAGGCCAAGGCTCGGGCTTTGGTCCTCGCTGTTGTCGTAGCGTCCGCCACGATGAGAGTGGTAGCTGTGACTAGCTCCCTCTCTTGGATCGTCATGGGTATGTCTGCGAGCATCGAGGGTATCGCGTGCGTCACGGTTGCGGCCGAGACGCTCACGCACCGGGACCACGGTGCGCTGCCTGCCGCCTTATGGCGCCTGGTGGACTGATGCGTCCTTGTCTGGTCGCTCTGAGGGTGTGCGCTGGCTGGCGTCGAGCTCACATCGTCGAGATAGTGAGCTCTCGGCCTGCTGCACCGCCGCTGGCTTGAGCAGCGTGCGAATCTCGCGGTGGGCCCAACGATCCTCGAGCGTCACGGGCCCCAGAAGCCCACGGAGCAAGGCCACCACAGCAGCGATGTTCTGGCTTGCTCGGGCAAAGTGTGGGAGGGCTTCATCGTCCGTGATGATCCTCCAGTTCACGTCACAGGCCATGGCGCGCGCCCACCGTCTCGGTGGCGCTCAATCTCCTGATCGAGCTCTGCGCGTTTCTGCTCGAGTTGGAGTCGTGCTTCTTCAAGCTCTAGGTGCTGGGCCTTCAGCTGCTCCACCTGTAGGCAGGGTGGGGCTCCTGTCTCCCCCTCGACCTCGTCGTCGAGGTCGTTCATCGAGGTAGCCTCCTCTTCGTGGATGCTTTCGACGTGTCCCTCGGGGGTACCCGCCATGAAACACTCACGAGAGGGGTGATGGCTACCCCTGCTAGAGTCAGAGCTAGAGGGCAACTCTGATTCTCCCACGAGGAGGTCGTGGAAAGGCTCCGCGACATATTAGGTCATCCCCAAAAACTCATCGTTCGCTGGGGACAGAGGCGTGCGTTGTGCCACAAGGTGGCCATCGATCTCTGCGGCGTTGCGGAGACCGAACGGGAGCGCTGTCGGGATGCTCCGGATGAGGTATTCTGGAGAGAGCGGCTCCCCTCCGGTAAGCTGCACCATGACGTTGGCGAACGAGAAGGTGAGGTGGCACAGGTCTTCCCGGGATGGTCGGAGTCCCAGGAAGGCGTCGAGCTGGCGCTTTAACCTCCCGTAGTCAAAGTCGAGGAGCTGGTTGCTCCCGGGGGCGCGGGCCTCTGGTGCGTGCAGCTGCAGCTCCTCAAGCGCCTCGGCGATTGCGTCAAGGCCGGCGGAGAGGAGGGGTCAGATGGCGGCGGGAGCCATCGCCAACTCTCCCTCCATTGTGACGATAAAGTCTAGGCCCCTGAAGCGCACGTGCGCGCCCGGGACCTAGCTGAGGTTGTGACTAGCCATCCGAGGCCTGGTGTGGATGTCGAGACGCGCAAAAGGCCCCTACCTGACGCTCCAACTGTCGGTGTTTCGAGTTGCCACTGACTAGTAAATATCTAATATTGTGCGTCTGGCCCGGATGGTGTGCTAAGATAATACGAGGTTTATACTGGTTCGGGTAGAATGTCCCTACGTCTAGTTCGTTGCTGCTGCTCGTGTTACTAGCACTAAAAGTTCGTAGTGGTCGTAGTAGAGGTTACAAACGGTCGAGAGAGGGACATGTCCCAAATCTCTGGTGAGAGGAGTGAACGGGTGCCGAGGGCTCGGTCGCTTCTCGGCTGTATGCTTGTGTGTTCTAATCGGTTCGGGGTTCGAATCCGAATCGATGTGATGTGTTTCGATTCGACCGAGTCGAGTCTCCCTTATAGGAAGCTCTACTTTCTCTTTTATAGACCAAGGGAAAGCACGGATTACAGTGGAAGAAAAAGAGGAGAATGAGAAGGAGAAGAAGTCCACCAGGATCGTCGGGTCCTTCTTTTCCTTCATGCGGGTCCCGCCGACCCTATAGACGTCAACAGGGACACCCCCACGTCGTGGCCCTGTCCATCACTGGCGCCATGCGCAGGCGTCGTCTCCCGGTCGTGGTGAACTGACGCGTCTGTCAGTGTCCGTACGAGGGTTAGACAGAACAGTACCAGTACATCCACCGCTATTCCTGATGTGAATGCTCAGGCACGATATAACCTATGACCATGATAGGCAAGTGCTTAGCCCTCCTTAGCGCCCTCCCTGTTAGCAGCGGGCAAGTGCTTAGCCCTGCTAACAGGGAGGTGACCGGCTAAGCAAGCCTGCTGTTTGAGTTTCCATGGCAACGTTCGTTCTGCGATGGACAGCGGACGGTTTCTTCTTTATGCTGTTTGAATTTCAAGGGCTAAGCACTTGCCGGCTGCTGCCCACTTTACTTGCTGGACAGTGTAGTGGACACACAGAATCCACCTGTCCAGTCCAGCAACCTGAGCCAGGACCAACCGTCCAACCACAGTTGACGAACGGAACGGCAGAGACTGAGCCGACGCTCGTGCTCCCAAAACTTCCGGTCGAATTTGTTTTCCCGCGGTTTCTCATCGCCACAAAAATGGATGGGAAATGTTATTATATTACACTCGTAATAATAATACAAAATCACAGGGCAGGGCAGGGCAGGGAAAATAAAACGAAACCGGATGAGGAAGAGTCTCCCGGTCCCATTCCAGGAGGCTAGAACCAGGACCAGGTGGTCCACCAACCATCAACGCGAGTGCCTGTCGCATGATCCCGAGACAGGAGATTAGCGCGAGGCCCGAGGCAGCAAGTTCTTCTCCGGGCGGACCCCGCACACCCCCCACGTCTCCCGTCTCTCCCGTCTGCCGCTCGCTCAGCTCCCCCGCAACGCGACAAATGGGCGAAACGGCAGATTGGCAAAAGCAGCTGCCACCTGCCCCTGCCCGCTTCCTTTCTTCTTCTTCTACTCCTCGACGCTCTGCTGCTGCTGCTCGCAAAAAGCTTCGTCCTTTCCTCTCTCGCTCGCTCGCTCCCCGTTCGTTCCTCCGGCCCTCCCCACCACTTTTCGCGTTGCGCACGACCGCCCATGAGCGCCTGCGGCAGCGCCGGCGTCGGCGGGGCCATCATCCCCTCGTCGCGCTTCCTGCGCCGCCGCGCCGCCGTGCGGGACCTGGGCGGGGACGCGGCCGGCGACGCCGACGCCGACGCCTTCTGGACCGCCGCGCCCCGCCTCTACGACTTCTCCCAGCAGCGGCCCGCGCGGCGATCTCCCTCGCCGGAGCCGAGCAGCCCGTGCCTGCTCGCCCGGAAGCGGCACGTGGAGCGGTCCCCGTCGCCGCCTCCGGCCCCGCGGCGCTCGCCGGCGTCGGGCGGGACGACAACGACCTGCCTGCTCTCTGCCCTTCACCGCACCTGCGTGGGGTGGGGCGTCACGAGGCGCGCCGAGTACCCCAGCCGGCAGCAGCACCGCCCGGGTTCCCCCACCGCTTCTGGACTCGGGATGCGCGTGCACCAGCTGGCGGCGGCTCGGTTCGTGGACGAGGACGAGGAGAGCACCAGCGGCGCCGTCAAGAGGAGGAGCAAGTGCCTCGGGGTGGTGGTGGGCAAGAACGAGCAGCAGCAGGAGGAGGTGGCGCCGGCGGCGGTTGGTCAAGATCAAGAGAGCGGCCGTGATGAGGAGGAGGAGGACAAGCCCGTGGTGGACAAGGCGAGGAAGGCCAGGAGCAGGAAGAGGGCGAGGTGGAGCGTCCTGCCGCGCCGGCGCCGCGGCGCCGCCAGGCGCGCCAAGAAGCCCCCCCGGGTCGTCAAGGAGGAGCAGGAGACGTCAGGCGAGGCGGCGGACGAGGACGTCAAGCCCGCGGAAGAGGACGTCAAGCCCGCGGTCGCGGTGAAGGCGGAGGAGGAGCCGAGGGAGGGGAAGAGGGCGGCGGCCACGACGAGTGGACGTGCCCCCGACGCCGCCAAGCGCGCCAAGAGGACGACCCCTGCGAAGCAGGAGGAGAAGAAGGGGGAGGTGGCAGCGGCGGCGGCGGAGAGCAAGCCCGCCATCGCCACTCCCGACCCCGCCTCGCCGCGCGGCAAGGTGGACCGGTGGTCGGCGTGGCGGTACGCGGCGGGCGAGGCGACGCTCGTCGACATCCTGCGCGAGCGCGGCGCCACCGCCGGCAAGCCCGTGCCGCGCGCCGACCTGCGGGCGCGGGCGCGCCGCCACATCGGCGACACCGGCCTCCTCGACCACCTCCTCCGCCACGTAGCAGACAAGGTCCCCGCCGGCAGCGCCGACCGGATCCGCCGCCGGCATAACCCGGCCGGCGGCCTGGAGTACTGGCTCGAGCCCGCCAGACTGGCGGCCGTGCGGCGGGAGGCTGGCGTCGATGACCCGTACTGGGTGCCGCCGCCCGGGTGGAAGCCCGGAGACCCCGTGTCGCCCGAGGCCCGCACGCTCGAGGTGCAGAAGCAGGTGGAGGAGCTCACCGGCGAGCTTGCCGTCGTAAAGAGGTCTCCTTTCTCGTCTTCTACATGTAGTCTCATGGATTGCAGCTTCTTCTTGCAGCTATGATGAATGTCGATGATACTCTGATTAGATTCTTGAACGCAGAAGTACTGATACTTGTTATTTTGCTGAAATTGACTTGTGATTTCCATTAACTGAAGGCAAATGAAGCGGCTCGACTCCAATCTGGTGCAAGTGAGCAAGGAAGCCTACATCTCATGGAAGGTGATGATACATCATACCTTGTTGATATGAATCTCATTCCTGTCATTCACTGTTCAGATTTTCGGTAAACTTCTAGTGCAGAACTGAAAATAGGGTATCCATGTGTGACACTCTCACACATAGTTGTGCCTGTGCTATGCACTTGTAAATTGTAATGTTGTACACATGTCTAGTTCTGGTTGAATGTTGGTGTTTGACTTCACATTTGTACTGTGCATAAACATTGGAAGAACAGCAGCATATTTTGCTTAGCTTTGCTGCACTTGTTACTGTCACCTCTCTGAAGTTGTGAAACTGTCATTTATGTGCTTTACTTGTCACATTGCTTCATCGTGCTTAAAGTCGATTTTTTAATATGCAATTCTGTACACACTGGAACTACACTCATGCCAATATAATGTTAAACTGCATGTCTGTTTCCATTTGTACTTAAAGAACTTGATGAAGAATCAAAAGTCATAGTTTTTTTTCATTGTAGCATTTTAATCTAGATAGGTAGCTACCCTCATTGGTGTAAATATGTTGGAAAAAGAGGTGCTGTCCTTGGAGGTATGCTTCACCCTTACTGCTTCCTAAGTTGCTAATCTAATTTGATGCAAGATTTGTATTTCTGATCCCATTACTTATTCAGTGTACCCAAACTTGCTTGGGAGTAAGAGGTTTGTTGTTGTTGAATCCATTAATTATTTGCTAGCTTAATTCGGTGATGGCCATGACTTATTGTGGGTTCTCATTTTCAGGAGAAGTATGAGAATGCGGCACAGGTGAATGGGGAGCTGAAAGAGCTGCTGCTGTTACTGAAGGTACATCACTACATTCAATCAATCTTCACAATTTGCACCTCACCAAAGTGACGTATCTTCCTGGTAACATGTGGTAACTTTGTATGATGAAGTATTGATCTGAAACTCTGGATCTGTTTTGCAGGATAAGTATGATACTGTGCTTGAGAAGAATGAGAAACTGGAGGGCCAGATGGTTGCTCTGTCCACTTCTTTCCAGTCCATGAAGGTAGACTCACTATTTATTTAATGCAATTGAACTGCACAGATATTTGGCGGACTGCTGCTATGTAGTTTCTTTGTTTTGCCTCACTTTGAGACGTGCCTCATTGTGTATTTAGCAGTAGCAACCATCAGTGTACTGATAAAACATTGCTTGTGCATTGGACTATATGTGCAGGAAGAGTTGCTCCTGCAGAGAATTGAAGAACAGCCTCTTCTGATGCTAGCGCAAGAGCCTTGGGAAGGTGACAAGCAAGAAGCCGGTGCGAACAATGCTTTGGTGTGTGCAGGCAACCAGCTGACCGATTCTGATGCCGTCGATGGCAGCTTCAGCAGCAATCACAGTGCCTGTGGTGACAAGAAGATGGCGCTGAGGAATAGGGATGAAAACGGATCGGATACGAACGGATATCACTGATATTATATTTGTTTTCATATTTCTGTCCGAATTCGGATTCGAATACGGATAGTGTCAACCATGCCGGATAGGATACGATTGGATATCGACATCATAAATATGCGATTTAAGTATTCGGATACGGATACGGTATCGGATGTTGAATATCCGGACTCGGATACGAACGGATTTAAACCCCTCTAAACGGATTCGGTCTCGAATACGGTCGAAAAATATCCGTACCATTTTCATCCCTACTGAGGAAGCGTATCTGCATGCGGGAGGGAGCATGCCAGTGGCCTAGGTCTGCTGCTTCCGGTGGCACGGCCGGCAGCCCTGGGGACCTGCCAGAGCCGCTGACTCCCGGCGCGGATCTGGTCATCGCCGACTTCGACACCATGATCAATAGCCTCGCGCCATCGTCCATGGAGGAGTACCTGCTGGCCGATGGTCTCCCCACGCCGACGTCCGCCTCATCCACCAACGCCTCCCAATCAGGGTTTACAATTTCAAGAAAATATCGCTGAAATTTCCAAAATATCGCCTTTTTCGCTGAGGTCCGAAATTTTTTTGTATCGGTCAAAATTTTTCGGTTAAATTCATTTTCACTCTAAAATTATACCAAACCACACTAAAATGACCCTCCATATCATCTAGTCTTATCAAAGCCCTAAATTTCTTCAAATTTATTTAATTTTCTCACTCACACATTGGACGGCACTAGTATATGCAGCTCGTCCACCGTCAAAGACATCAGATATTACCGCTCTCTACTTCATTATATATTGTTATTTCGTCGATGTTATATAAATTTATGATGGATGATGGATTATAGAGTTTTTCTAGTGAAATGATGCCAAATTTGTTTAAAACTCAATTTAAATTTATTTAAATTTGAACCGATATTTTCGAAATTTCGTATTTATCGCTGGGGACCGAAATTTTTTTCTTACCGGTATTGTAAACCTTGCTCCCAATCTCCAGCTCCTCCCCTCACCAGCCTTGCCAATCCAGGTCCAGCCTCTGCCATCAACAACCATGGTCATGGGCGACCTCAACCTGCAGCTCCGGCACACGGTGAGCTAGTCTAGTCCTCCTTAGTGCCCTGCTTCCTGTTCTTCAAAGAAAATTATGTCTTGACAATTGACATCGCTAGCTCGTGCCACCAATGAACAGTGCACGCACATGATGGTGAAGATGACTGACCTCTGCTTGGCCATTGTTGCTGCCACAGGACACGTCGTCGTCGTCATCAGGACCATGCGGTGCCAAGGCGCTGAAGCTCGACGCCGGAGCTGGAGGTGTCGAGGTTGGCACCGATCTGGTCCTGGCGACTCCCACCTACTGATCCGACGTTGACGAGCTCTGATGAATGGACAGATGACCACTGAAATTTTGCCTCGCCGCCATTATATTAACCCATCTCACATCTCAGAACATAGCACACAGGACAGGACAGGATAGCTGCAGAAAGACAGAAGAACACCCGAGACGAGAAGATAGATTACCTACCCCTTCTTTTCCTTTGCTGAACTAGGCCATGCATTATGCTGATTCTTCTCCTTTCATTGTCACTGTCAGTCAGTAGTTGTCACTAGTTTCAGTTGGAACTTAGTTGCAGGTGGGTTTTACTTACAGCTGAGCACCATGCTGCTGCTGCTTAATTCCCACAGTAGTTTGTACTTATGGTTGGAGAAATGGTCTGCCGCTCTGTTGAAGTCAAATGCTCACCAGGAGCATACATCAGAGACAAGGATGTTTTGATCTCGTGATGAATTGCACAGACTGCTTATAGATTAGCGTATTCAGGAGTGTTTTTTTTTCGAATGCTATTTGTTACTGTTTAATTACATTTGACACGATAACATCACCCAGCGGTCCATGTCCATTGAATCGAGCAGCTTTCTTGTACTGCACGCGCTCGGCGTGGTGAGGCTTGCCGTACTCGTCGAGCATGCATGACGCATGACGGTGAGCGAGCCCTTGCCCTGAGGCAACCTCCAGGACAGCGCGGCACGGAGGAGCTTCTGTCTCCTCGCAAATACGAGGCGGACGGCGAGGGATGGAATTGTACAAGCTTGTTTGGGAAGAGAAAGCAGATTAGCAGAGCAGAGCAGCGGTAGTGCAACCACGCCTCTGCTCGTGGGTTGGACTATAGTTTTGGCACTGGCCTCTTGTTTTGCAGAGGTTTGAAGTCGGGTTTTATTCTGTGCCTAGTGTTGGATACACAGGTGAATCCTGTCTGTAGCACACAGCACAATGTTGGATACGCAGGTCACTGCACACATACATGCCTCTGCTCATGTATTCCAGAGGGCCTGTTTGCATGGCAGCCTCCCAGGCAGTTGCCTGCCAGGCAAAGGATCCTGGCCATAGGCACACAAAATCGGAAGCTTGGTGTGGCTGCCTGGGTCAGGCAAGATTCTTCTGCTACCATTCAAACAGGCCCATCTCTGCGTGCGGAGCGGACAGCGCTTGTGAAATTTGCTGTGGGACATTGGAATATTTTTTCTTTGCTGTGGGACACTAATTTCTTTGCTGTGGCACACCGCCCAGTGTGTCTAGAGCAAAGAAAAAAAATACAGTGTCCCACAGCAATTTCACAAAATATTAGTGTCCTGTAGCAAAATCTCCCAATAATATATTAGTGCTCTAATGCGGCAAGCGCTAGTTGGTGCTGAAATTTTATATTATTTTTTCGAGCATCTTACTGTCCTCAAATGAAAAAACTTAAAACTACAAAGTTGTAGATCTCATCGAGGTCTACAATTTACATATAAAAATTATCTTCATCCGTCATCGTATTGAAGGGTTTTCTATTTTTTGAAATTAGAGTCTCATCACGCGACAAACAGTTTTTTCGCGACCCCGCTTTCTCCATGCTTAGTCCAACATATATAGTTTGACATGAAACCTGACTTAAGCAAATGTGAATGAAGACTCATTAAGCTTGAATATTCCTTTAAATTCTTACATATGGCACATGGACAGCACATGAAACCATCCCGCTTATTTGCCTCGGCCACACCTAAGAAATAGTGCACGCCCTCAATAAAGTCTTGGGAGCGGCGATCGGCATTGTACATCCAATGGCGTGACATAATCTGCATTACACGACAAATTACGAAAATCTTGAACATAATTAAGTATTTTATTACACAACATAGATGACGCACACACGGTTGATTAATTAACTAAGCCTGGCTACGACGTAAGCAATCCCAACTATCACTAAACAAACTAAAACTACAATGCACTTCAGTAATATAATTATTTCATGATCGTACGCAACTAAAACAGACAAATCATTCTTTTGTTGAATATCAATAAGCTTCTCCTGCTGGCTCACTGCCTCATCATCAGCAGCCGCTACCTCAAGCGCACCCGAATTCTGCACGTATGTAGCATAATCTTCCTCCCAGTACCAACCATCGCATCCCTTGCCCTCCCACTGAAATTAAAGCCAAAAAATATTTAGTCAAAAATATTCAAGAAAAGCAGGTCAATTAGCCATAATAATCAAATACGTAAGAAACTCACATCGTGATCCGGGCACTTGTAGAAAACACGACCCTTGTTGGGTCCCTGTCTCTTGACTCGGTACTCCATCACAATCTTCTGCTTACACTTGTCGCAGATAATGAGAGGGAGTTCTGGCCTCAGTCGTTTCGCAACCGAACGAGAGGCCGAGGATCCGGTACCAGTTGTCATCTACTTTCTATACTTATTTTTGCAAACTAGTGTAAATTTCACATTTTCTAAAATAATATATTTAAACAAAACTAAAATTATTTATTTATCTAACTAAACCATGAAATATGTACTATGTATAATAGTAAAATACCAAACTATCAAGTGATTTTACTATTGTAAATCATCATATGATTTTGAGCTAAAAATGACATAGAAATCACATAGCTCAAAAACATGTTTCAATAAATAACCATCCGTACTAGTTGACCTTGCTTACGTGATCATCTCGGCGAGCATTTCTCCACCGGACGGCACCGTACTTGGCCAAGGAAGAGCTCCAATTCTACGAGGAAGGGAACATGGTCTTCCACGACCGTTGCCACTCTCCCTCGTCGAATCAAAGCATCTCCTTGACGTCCGTCACCGCTCGGCAGAGAACATAATCGCCGAGATGATCACGGTCCGCAAGTTCAACTAGTACGGATTTTTTACAATTTTCTAACTATTTTCATTTCATGGAAAAATTAATTCTAAGATCACGTAAGCCGTCGGGGACGAGGATGGCGCGTGCTCCAGCCAGGACGAGCGAGGCGTGATTTTGATGAACTAATTTAACTTTTGTTTATCCAAACATATATGCAAATCATCATGTGATTTTGAGCTAAAAATGACATATAAAATCATAATAAAGTCCAACATATAAAGTTACACATGCATCTACATCGCAAAATGAGATAAGCTACTGATAAAACATAAGAGGATTAAGTTTGTTACCTCCAAAATCGAAGAGCAACACCAATGGAGGGGGAGAGAGCAAGAACAACAGCAAGCTGAAGAACAGAGGCTGTGAGTTTGAATGGAATGGCTCGGGCTCAGGGAGGAAGAAATGAGCTGGTGTATAGGCCGGCATAATTAGTCCCGGTTAGGTGGCCAAACCGGGACTAAAAATTAATATTTATTCCCGGGGTATCACCCAAACCGGGACTAAAAGCTTTAGTCCCGGCTGGTATTATCAATCGGGACTAAAGATAAACCTTTAGTCCCGGTTGGTAATACCAGCCGGGACTAAAGATCACTGCCCCGCGGACGACCGTTGGGCAGGGACCTTTAGTCCCGGGGGCAAAAAATACCGAGGCTAATGCCAAATTGGGACATCGTTCTAAAGTCTGTTCTCTAGTAGTGTATTGTGCCAAACAGGGCCTATTGCAACCCAAAAATGACTACTCTTTGCCACCCATCATTGATCTTGAATTCACTCCTAAAACTCCTGTGCCAATGCGTGGGGAATTCATCTAGATAGATAGCTAGAACCCTATGGGCCACGGTAGACTAGACATATGTATTATTAATTACTGTTTCACAATCTAAATTATTGGGTACTTGGTTGGTAGGGCGCTTCTTTCTGGTGTACAATGAAAACTCACCACCCAAGCGAGCACTGCGAATGCATGCATGCATGTTACTCCTACTGCTAATAACGTGCGGTTAAATTAAAATAGACATCATCAGTTCTATATATAGTAATAGTAATAGCTCTCTGATTAGTCCATATATAGATGTTGCGGCCAAACTAGACGTACCTGAGACACAAGAGAAGTGACCTAAGAATATGGGTGTAGTTCCAAAGATGCCGCCTGTTCCTCCTGTTCTTGTAGTGGCGATCGTCGCCTTCTCCATCTTTGCCGCTGCAGCATTACCATGCATCGCCGGCCAGCCGCCGACCGCCGTCGACACAAGACCCAAGCCACTAGTGGAGAACCTACCTACCACTGTCGCGGCGCAGGATTTCATCCGCGCCCGCTGCGACCAAGCACTCCGAACATCGGATGTCTCCAGGATGTGCTAGGAGCTCCTACTCCCGTACGCGACGTCCATCAATGGCAGCTACAACAGGGCCGCCACCGCCGGCGTCACCGCCATGGTCGCCAAGCTCACCTTCTTTGCGGGGAAACTGGCCGATACTACTAATCCTCCACTAGGCGAATGCATGCAGGTGGTCAACGAAGCCATTAGCAGGGCCAAGGAGGCGTTGGCAAAGCTCGACCGCCTTGATGCCATAGGAGACGACAAGGTGGATGCGGAGAATCCGGATCTAGTTGACGTGACGAACTGGATCATGGGTGTGAATGATAATTTTGCCCAGAAGTGCCAGGATTGTGGTAGCTATGCCAGCGCTATAGCTGTAACACAGACATACTTGTCTATCGCCGATGCACTTGTCATTTCTGCCAGGCCATATTGGGACAATAGTCTTCCCTCTCCGGACGGATCAGGTCCATAATTGCATGCCTACCTCTCCTCAATTGACGTGCCTACATACACGATGATTATTCGATTCAAGGTTCTTATTATCCAATAAATAAAGCTAGTCATCTCCCATATGTATTTGATGAGTTGGTCATCATTTGTAATTGTAATAATGGCCTACACATTTCAATTCTTCTTTTTCGAGCTATGTATTTTATTCTGTGCACACTATTTGTTTGTTTATTTATTTGATGGAATTAAGAAGGAAAAAAGTGTTTACTTCATCAACGAGCCTCTACTTATTCAAAGCTATATGTCTGTACTCAGAATGTACAAAGAGTACCTATTTACTTTGGAAAGATATATAGCATGCTGCATGCACAAACTACCGTACACGGAATGGCACGCAATGGTCACAGCTAGTAATGTGGACGGGCGAACCGGCACACCATGGGTGCTCCAGCCAATCTTTCTACATAGTTATATATAAAAAAACTCTTTTTGCATCATGTCACACTATCATAAAAAGAGTCGCAAAATGTTACATTATGACCTCCACTACTGGAGTTCTCGCTGAAGGAGAACTAGTAGAGAACCCTTCTCAATTCCAGGAGGAGTAACCACTGGAGAACTATCCATAGTGTTAAAAACCTACAAAAAAAAAATTGACTTATATGACAGCAGCAACAAGGGAATAGGAAAGAAATAAATAAACAAAAAAACCTGAAGATCTGTACATTCTCAGTTCACTACTACATAAACCTTTTTGTAGGGGTGGCTCCAGGTGATTTGTAGGTGCGGTTTGGTCAGCCGCCCCTACCATAGCGTCTCTACAAATCATGTATTTATAGGGGCGGTTCCCAGACCGCCCTTGCAAATCAATTTGTAGAGGCGGCTGGTGTTATCAGCCGCCCCTACAAATCGATTTATAGGGGCGGCTGGTAACACCAGCCGCCTCTACAAAATAGATTTGTAGGGGCGGATGTAGTAACAGCCGCCCCTATAATACCTTTTTTAAGGGACGGTTCAGTCTAGAACCGCCCTTATAGTATATTTTTTTGCCAAAAAAAAATTCAAATTTACAATTTAAATTCGATCAGAACATATATATATATATATATATATATATATATATATATATATATATATATATATATATATATAATTCAAATCTGACCAGAACATATATAATTCAAATCTGACCACAAGCACAGGAGCACAAGTTGTTGGTACTGAGGATTTCTACCTAAGTGAACGTTACAAGTATGTATACAAACATATAAGCTAATGAGGATTGTCGATATGTATACGTCTTGAGAATCGATATGAAGTAACTGGGCTCATGCACACTGGACAGCTCATGTACACCTGCAAAAATATAATTAAATGATTAACTTTACTTGTTAGTAAGCACACCTCCAAAGTAACTGGTCTCGTAACTTTTCTCGTTTGCGGGACAGTTATGGCATTGATGCCGAAAATACAAAATGTCCATGAGCTGTAGAAGCAAAAGGCATATTTTCATGTTTTGTATCAAAGACAACAAATAAATTTGTTGATATTCAGAACTTCTCTTTCCATTGATGCTTGATATTTTCATGTTGTCATCTTGTATTCCAGAAGTGAACATGATTTCTCTCAATAGTTTTCAGCTTAGTTCAGCAGACCTAAGAATGAGTACTTGACCTTTTGTAATGACCTTAAATAACTGATCAGTATCACAACTAAAATCTAATAATTCAGTATAGTATTGGTTTGTGCTTTCACTTGCAGATGGTTTATAAATTCAGTGAAGCAATTTAGGCAGACCAAAGGACCACACATAAATCATGATTGAGTCACTTCCAGGGTTTACATTTATCAAGTATGGTGAAATTTCAGACCTGCAACTCGTGGTCAAAACCACTGCTGAACACAAAGCTGGCAGTAAAAGATGTAAGATTCCAAGTTTCTAATATGAGAAACCCACTGCCTGCATTCACACAAGAGATAAGAGATAAGATTGAAAAGTTACTGCAGTAGTTATTTGTACTAGCTTACATTCAGGAGCATATACTATAGCCATATAGCAAGAACTCTGATACGATAGCCAAATTCTTATAACACTATTTAATTATCAGTATTAACAGTAGGATCTCTTCGACAAAAACCAGGTGAAGCGTGAGCTCCTACTCTGTAGAACACAGGAGACCAGTATATATTCACTAAGCAAAGATAGGTATGATAGGACTACAAAATGACTGAGTTGTAGTACTACTAAATCAAAGAAGTGACTGTGAGTACATGCTAGCTACCAAATGCACTTCCCTAAGAGACACTACCGGATTCAGCTTCTTTGCCGAGTGCCTCAGGCACTCGGCAAAGGCCGATATACACTCGGCAAAGCCTTTGCCGAGTGTTACACTCGGCAAAGGGCGCTCGGTAAACAGTTTATGGGCAAAGACCTCTTTGTCGAGTGCACTTTATCGGGCACTCGGCAAAGTCTTTGCCGAGTGCTAATCTGACACTCGGCAAAGAAAAGTCGCCGTGACGGCGACCACCACCGTGACGGCGGTTTTGCCGAGTGTCAAGGTCAAGCACTTGGCAAAGGTCGCCGCTTTGCCAAGCGCCGTTGACTCAGACACTCGGCAAAGGTGGCCATTGTGCCGAGGTCCACCGGCAAGACACTCGGCAAAGGTAGCCTATTTGTTGAGTGTCCTGTCAAGACACTCCGCAAACAGGCGACCTTTGCCGAGTGCCTGGCCCATGGCACTCGGCAAATCTGTGATGTTTGCCGAGTGCAGTGGCCTTTGCACTCGGCAAAGCATGTTCCCAGGTAGTCACTTTGCCGAGTGTCATGGCCATTGCACTCGGCAAAGTGATTGAAAATAGCCTTTTTATTTGTTTTTTACATCCCATCCAAACAAACAGAAGATATATATAACAAACATCATCAACATCACATATATATCATCAACAGCACATATATATCACCAACACCACATATATATCACAAACGTCACATATATATCACAAACGTCACATATATATCACAAACGTCACATGTCTCACAATATATCACAAATAAGTTCACAAGTAATCCAAGTGCTCCATCATCTACAACCACAATTGCAAATAGAAGTACCATTAACAACTACAAGTATCATCACAAAGATGGCCAATGAGACTGATTTGGTGAAGGATTCGCTGAAGCATGAGGATCGTTTGATGCCGCCGATTGATTCTGCACAAAGGAGAAGAGATTGCATGTGTGAGACAAGATAAATATATACCATACATGAATAATACTTTCATACTCCACTAGGTTTGACCGTAAGCATGAACATACAAATTAAAACATTTATACTCATAGGAGTAAAATAGTGAGGAGGTGGAGGCGGAGGAGGAGCGAATAGCGAAGGTGGCGAAACTACACCCGTAGCGGCGCCAAGACTTTGCATGTACTGAAGAATCTCTGCCATCCTCCGCTGCTCGGCCTCCCGCTCGGCCTCCACCCTCTCCATCTTTGCCTGCATCTGCTCCCGTATCCTCCTCTCTTGTTCCAGCTGGGCCTACAATATATTCACCCCAATGTTACAATAATGCAAAGAAAAGGTATGAAAAAACCAAAGAATGACGAATAAACCAGGAATAACCTCGAGTGCCTCCACCCAGTGGTGTGAAGTGTACTGCCGAGGTCGTTTGGCCGGGCTCGTGCTCGTGCTGCTTGCTCGAATCTAGGAGAGACTGGGAGTAGCGGCCGAGTCGATTGCACCCATTCTTCTTGCCTCCTCCCACCCTCATGATGACTTCTCCATCAAGGTCCTCGGTGCTCGGATCGTACTCTGACCCATGGACCTCCCTTGCCATCGATGTGTACTCACTGAGGCGGTTGTGGATGGTCGCATTGCTGTACGCCTCGGGCCCGTCCTTTGGGTTATAGTCGACGTCGAACGTCGCCTTGCCCTTGTGAGCCATAGCAAATGCCTTGAACATGGAGCAAGGCTGGCCACCATGTGACACCGACTGCGAGAAAAATAGCAAGATGATTAGAAATCATGCAGAATTGAGCGTTAGAATAAATAAATGAATTCACGTACCCATGTTTCTGCGTATCTGCTAAGGCTGCGGCTGCCTTGATGGTGTGCTACACCTGGCATCATCAAACGCCGCTCTCAGCACAAGTTGTGCGTCTCCTCCCACTCGCGTGAGCACCACTTGTCCACCATCTGTACCCAGCACTGGGGATGCACGGCGCACCAATAAGGAATCATCTACAGGCCATCAAGTACATGACATATCAGAAGATGAAATTAAGCCTACTTAATCTCAAAAGGAATCAGTATTAATGTTCTATATTTACCTGCAGGTACTGGTCCCGAGTCAACGTCATGGTTCTTGCGTCCCTTTTGGTGACCTTCGTTCCAAGGACGGTCCCATGGTAAGTTATGACGGCCTGGATGCGCACCTCGTAATGCATGTCCACGATGAGTTTTTTGCAGCATTTGGTAGCCACCGCATCCACCCTGGCCTCATGTCCGTCCTGGCATCTAAAGAAATCCTGCATACAAACACGATGTATCCATTCATTATTTCAAGAATGTCCAATGAATGCGATGTATTGAGCAATGTAGTGCGAGGAAGACTTACCCACAGCTCTTGCTTCACCCGCTCCGCCTTGTTGTTGAATGGCGATTCGCGAACCAATGTCCCCTGCTGGGTACCCCGAAAACACACACCCCGCTTGTACCCAAGGCACAAGCAGGACCAACCCATCACTCTCCTGTCCTAGGGTCCTAGGTCCCCGTCCAAACTGGGACTCCAAGCCCCCGCCTCTGAGTCCCAGACTCAGTGCGGTGCAAGGACCTCCTCCACCAAAAACAAAACTCTGACAGTCGGTCTGGAAAGAGCCGGAACCCACGACAAGAGAGCAACAAGCCTTCCAAGCGCCCATACACAAGTATGTGATCGGGATGATAAATCTGTGACTTGCCTCGATGGCTTATGCAACGATCGGTCCTTAACCGACATAGATAGGGAAAGCAGTGTAACCAA